CCAGGGAAAAGTTAATTTCAAAGTCCTATAAAGGGAGGGGAGTGAACTAAAACTGGGATCCTTTCCGAACGGAAATGTTTTAATTTGCTTATCTTCTCATCCCCCAGAATGGCGATTGGGGGGAGGGGTGACATTTTATGTGATTTTATGGTCTGCCGCGCCCCCGACCCAGTACGGATGACTGCAAGTAGCCGTTTGGCTTTGGGGAAATTTTTGGGAACTTCAATGTCCTTATCGCCATAATTTTTAAATGACAATACGATTTTAAGTTCTTTGATCCTGTTACCGTAATTCCTGATCCTTTCTCCCTGGGTCGGGGAAATAAGGCATACGCCCTCCCTTAGATTATATGACAGTCTGGAGTGTCTTTTTCTTTTTTCTTTATCCTCTGCAGAAGAACTTCGCAGTATTTTAGATGGTGGGATGGGGGGCATATGCTTTTGCTGTTTTTTCGGGGAAAGACTCGGAGTAAAAACTTGGGTGTCAGTAGAAATTTTTCTGAATTGGGCTAAGATCTCTACTGAACGGGGAACATCTGCAAGGAGATGAATGGGTTGATGACATTTGTTTTTGACGATTTCATATCAGGGGATGAAGGGGTAGAAGTCGAAGGGTGTGCTGCCTTTTTGGCTGGTGACTCTTTCAATTGTGTCTATAATTTCGTTTTAAGACGTTTTATTTTCTCCGTTTTTTCAAAACCCGGGTCGTATTTTCTCTGACATTCTATGATAGAGATGATTTTAGAGCCTGGGGCGTTGGCCTTAACGCTAATAAAGGGAGTGCTACAATCAGTGCCTTTAGTCTCGGGGGCTTCAGGGGATTGAGTTCCCGCTGTCTGAAGCTTCCTTCTTGCCCTACCAGCAACCAGCCATTCCATTTTTTTCTTTCTTCACAACTATACAAGCAGCGGGCAAAGGTTTTTTTGCGGAATGTGGGCTCTGATCTGAACCCACTGAGAGGTTTAACAACTCTTGTCTCGGGTGGTGGCATGCTCATTTTTTTTTGTTCAACACTTAAAAGAGCTTTGGCCTAAAAACATTGTGATTTCATTTGATTTATTTTTATTTTTAATCTTTCATTCTTAATTCTTTCATTCTTATTTTACAAAATATATTCTTATTTTTAATCTTTCATTCTTAATTCTTTTATTCTTATTTTACAATAATATTTATTTTACAATAATATTTATTTTACAATAATGTTCTTATTTTTAATCTTTCATACTTAATTCTTTCATTCTTATTTTACAATAATATTCTTATTCTTATTCTTATTCTTTCATTCTTAATTTACAATATTTATTTTACAATAATATTCTTAATCTTTCATTGCATTGTTAATTCTTTCATTCTTTCTTATTTGAATTTTAATTTTGGTTCTGAGTTTTCCGTTCTTGTTTTATTTCAGTTATTTATTTTTCTCTCGTCGGCTTTGGTCGCCATGTTTATGTATATTTTCCATACAAAGTTTAACTATACCACTGTTCATTGGTTTATTTATTTCTTATTTAATTTACAGTCTACTTTTATATTAGGACTAAATCCCGTTTATCTTAAGTTCAATTTTTTTCTTCTTCGTTCTCTCCCCGTTAAGTTTTTTTTTTTTATTTATTCTCTGAAGTAACTTATACGATTTTTTAAGTCTTCGGCCGCCATTATTTTTTGTCGTTGTTGGCAAAACTTTATATCGCTTTTTGTTTAAACCCTTCTCGGTAACTGTTAGCAATTTTTAACGCAATTTAATTTAACTTTACGAATCTTTGTTTTAATTTATTTTTGCTGGTCAAGCCAGTTTTTTGTATTTTATAGTTTCTTACATTTTGCATTTCTTTTAAAATTTCCTGTTAACTCTTGGAAGTTTTCACGTACATTTATTTTCAAATTTTCATTTGCTGGTTAAACCAGTTTCTTGCATTTTATAGTTTAATTTTATCTAAAACTTTCGTTGTAGATCATCTAATTTTACTTTTTTTCATATCCGCTCTCATGTTAAACCAGTTTCTTTATTGTTTTGAATTCTCCACATATTTTTAATTTATTAATTAATATTTCTCCTCTATCCCTCCCCATACTTCTATATAATTTTTACAAGGAAAAAAATATACAATTCTCCTAGTCTTTTCAGCCTTAAAACCAATATGGCCGACAGAATCGGTCTGTTCGTATGGACTTATTTAGATTGACTTCTAAAACTGATCCACCAGATAAAGACGACGAAGTAAAATACCCGAATCTTAAGGAAAATGAAAAATGTATGGAGGCCAATAATGGCCCATAATTAAAAGTGAAAACTATGGAGTCAATAATACCTAAAATGAATGTAAAATAAATGACCAGAATTCAAATAAAAAAAAAGTATGGATGATCATACTATTCATCCTGACCAAAAGAAGGACAATGTTGAGGCTGGGGATTTGCCGTGTTGCTGGAAGACTCCACCTAAATGTATAATCAATATTGTGGAGTTCTTGGAGCGAGCCAAGAGTTACGCATGAAACTGAAAGTCATTATATACAGTGTTGATTCCTATGACAAAACATTTAATCTCTATCTCACAATATGTGTATGCCTCTATGTATGTGTTTATATATAGTATTTCTGAACGTTCGCCTTCTGACCATGAAACCCAAGTTCGAATCTCAAGAAGGTGATGCTATTTTCTGAGGAGACGATACTAGCCTATGCCGGAAAACCATACCACGAGTTGACAAAAACCTTGTGAGTGAAATTACATATACGGAACTGTTAAATTGTTGCGATATCATGAAATTACAAGTCGTCGTGACCGAGGGTTTTAGTGTAATATCATTGTTCAAACTGCTGATCATGACAGATTATACGTTCTGTTCTAGAAACTGTAATTCAGTTGCAATGTAAACTACATTACCTACCTACCTGCCTATCTATCTATCTATTTATTTCATTTTATTCATATCACTCTATATATCCTGTTCTTTTTATATTTGTTTGACTATATATCTCATTTCCTTAATATCCATCTGTCTGTCTATTGCATTCAACATAAAGGGTGCGATGGAAAAATTGTCTTCTAAATGACACAAAAATGAAAATGACATTGGCATCTCATTTTAACAGATATATTACACAAGAATTACACAAAAATATCTTGAAAAACTAAAGAGTAAATGTATTCAATATAATCGCCATTGGCTTCAATTATCTTCGTTGAACTTAAAGTTAAACTTGAGGCGCTTGCTCGGGTTGCCTTGAGGACAATGCCTTGCGCAAACTCGCCATACAACGTCCGGCATATGAGCGTCCGCCAAGCGGACAAGTAACCAACCCACACACACACACACACACACACATACATACATATATATATATATATATATATATATATATATATATATATATATATATATATTGTTATAGGGAGATTACAAAAAACATGTTGAAGTAGTTACACAATAGCTTTTCGTGTTTCGGCACAAAATTGTGCCTCTTCAAGCGATGGTAAGTGATTGGTGATTAAAGGATTTTTAAAGAAAATTTCAAAAGCAAACATTTCAAAAGATAAGGGTGGTGTGAGGAAACAGAAAGTCAGAATAAAAAATAGACTAGTGGGTTTGCCTTAATTAAAAAATCAAATATCAGATCTACGCTAAATAGAAAATTAAGCACAGAGGATGGAGTATATATATATATATATATATATATATATATATATATATATATATATATATATATAGTCTTGGTCTAAAGATCTCAGTCATCACACAGTATTGATTCCTACGTACGCATTTTCTATATTTATAAACACTATCTTCGATATTGTCCAATTCTACCATATAAATACAACAAATTAAGTATATATATATATATATATATATATAGAGAGAGAGAGAGAGAGAGAGGGGAGAGATATATATATATATATATATATATATATATATATATATATATATATATATACATATATATGCATACATGCACACACAAACATGCATATTTATCCCTGAGCGAATGCTAACAGAAATATCCAAAATGATTTCTACTCAATGGCATCTAGAATCATTTGAAACATAATCGTTACGACCCAGCCAATAACCTTCCAGATAATACAACAGAACATGCTATCCATAATGCACCATTGACTAGCGTATATGAATAAAAACGGAAGGAAAATTGTGTTGAAGCATGAAACAAGCTATCACTGCTTAGTGTTAACCTCAGCGTCCACTTCATATCGTACTTCCCGACAGTGAAACTCCCTTCCTCTTACTTGCTTCTCTGATAACTATAATCTTTAAAAATTTAAATGTAATGTCAATCGACATCTTTTGTTGCCTTGATCCCTGTTCTTATTTTTATCCTTTCCTCAACCCCCCCTATATATACTATATATATATATATATATATATATATATATATATATATATATATATATATTATATATATATATATTAGTAAACAGAACATAAATTTTATATACCAGAACAATGATAAGAAAAATGATAGAAAAAATAAATAATAAAAGTCCTATAAACTTAAACGTAATAGCAAATGAGAATATATATATATATATATATATATATATATATATATATATATATATATATATATATATAATAGTAATTGGCTTCCATTATATATTGAGAAGCCATCAGTAATATAATCTCATTAGATTATTGACAGGCGTTTATAAATTATAAATAGACCTTTAACTCGCTTAGATTGATTATTAATAGCAACATCTGATTCGACTCTCATGGACAGATATTTGATATATGGCATGATGTGATAGAACTGAATAAAAACCGTTCTTTCTTCAATGTTATTAAATTGAGATCAATTATTAATAACTGTGATCAAAGTGAGTTAAACAGCTGTTTATAACATGTCGGCATTACTGATTTTGCCTGATGTATTACTGTATGTTTCCCTAATCTATCAAGTGAGGAACATTTATCTGCTTTGATATTCAGTATTGGAATTCCAGTTTTTTACTCAGAGGCAACCACCGATTAGTCACAGAGACTAACAAAGGTAGAAAAATCGGTATATTTTACAAGTACATGAATGCTTAGTTGAATAGAGAGAGATATGATACAGAGACGTTTTTAAAATATAAATATATGAAGGCTGACAAATGCAGATCGATGAAAAATAACAATAGAAGTGGAGTATGAGGTAAAGATAGATAGATAGATAGATAGATAGATAGATAGATCGGATACTAGGAGATAACAGAGAAACAGAGAGAGAGAGAGAGAAAGAGAGAGAGAGAGAAAGAGAGAGAGAGAAAGAGAGAGATGAACAGGGTATACAATTAATAATAACAAAAACAATAAATAACAAAAGACTGATAGACAGAGAGAGAGAGAGAGAGAGAGAGAGAGAGAGAGGAGGAGAGAGAGGGAGGGAGGGGGAGGGAGAGTAAGATGAATAGAGTACAGATAGGTAGATGCAAATAGAATGGGTAAGAGTGATGAATAATGCCCAGATAGAAACATAGATACGAAGAGACTTACATAGACAGCAGAGAGAGAGAGAGAGAGAGAGAGAGAGAGAGAGAGAGAGAGAGAGAGAGAGAGATGAATAGTGTGGGGTAGTTAGATGCAAATAGAATGAGTTAGCGAGACGAAGATTGCCCCGATAGATAGACAGATAGATAGATAGACAGACAGATAGATAGATAGATAGATAGAAACGAATAAACTGATAAGAATATATATATATATATATATATATATATATATATATATATATATATATATATATAAAGCAAATGTAAATGTATATAGATCCGACAGAATGAAGAAAAATTTGGAAAAAACAAACAAAAATCCTTAAATGCAATTATGTGGTTTAAAATGAATGAAATGTCGACGTCTGACGTTTCGGTTTTGGATAAGACTTGTTGTTTATGTCCATCGTCTTTGTCAAATTGAACTGAATTGTATTTTAATGAATATTGTCTTGAAAAAGGTTTATTTAACCGAAACGTCAGACGTCGACATTTCATTCATTTTAAACCACATAATTGCATTTAAGGATTTTGTTTGTTTTTTCCAAATTTTTTCATATATATATATATATATATATATATATATATATATATATATATATATATATATAGAGAGAGAGAGAGAGAGAGAGAGATAAGTGAGAAATTAAAAATGTACTTACGTAACTTCGAGAAAGTAAGAAAGAAAAGAAAGAAGAATGATAAAATAGAAAGAGAAGAAAAATAAATCTATTGAAGAAAGAAAGAAAGAAAGAAAGAAAGAAAGAAAGATCATAATGAGTGTGAAATATAGATTAGAAATAAGGAGGGGGTGAGGGTTGATGTAGCTAGGAAAAGATAGATACATAGATGAGAGATTATGAGAAAGCGAGATAATAGGAGAAGAAAAATGATCGTGCGTGATAAAAGAGAGAAGATAACACGAAAAAAGAAAGAGAAAAAGAGTGAAAGGATAAAGAAAGAGAGAAGGGAAAGGAGTGAGTGAAGAAAAAAGTAAAAAAGCATTTTGAATAGACCGACATTTAGATTACCTGACATCAAAAAGAAAGAAAGAAGAAAAAGAAGAAAGTAACTATGTACTTATATATCTGACAGAGAAAACAGTAAAAAAAAAAAAACCTGAAACTAGTAAATACTCTTTTTCAGCGAATCTATTTATATTTTGGCCTCTTACCAGACGAAACTTCGTAAATATCAAGAACGTCTGTAGACTGATTTGACATTTGACGTTCTTCACAGAGTTTGTCTTACCGTTAATTTGAATGTTTGATTTTCAAGCATGACAACAGCATTTAAATTTGGTTCTAAACTAGAAACTGATTCCCATTAACTTTGCCAAATGGTTTATCCAGACTCCCACGAGCCTCTCTGTCTGGCAGAGATCAAAAATAAAAACAGATCGCTGCGACAGATATCAGTCAGCCTTTCATGATCTTCTCACCTAAATAATCAATGACTATTTTTAAAGTATTATTAACTCCTTCGCTTGATCAGTTTGTTTATTTACTAGTTTCAGGTTTTTTTTTTTTACTGTTTTCTCTGTCAGATATATAAGTACATAGTTACTTTCTTCTTTTTCTTCTTTCTTTCTTTTTGATGTCAGGTAATCTAAATGTCGGTCTATTCAAAATGCTTTTTTACTTTTTCTTCACTCACCTTTCCCTTCTCTCTTTCTTTTATCCTTTCACTTTTTTTTCTCTTTCTTTTTCGTGTTATCTTCTCTTTTATCACGCACGATCATTTTTTTCTCCTATTATCTCGCTTTCTCATAATCTCTCATCTATGTATCTATCTTTTCCTAGCTACATCAACCCTCACCCCCTCCTTATTTCTAATCTATATTTCACACTCATTATGATCTTTCTTTCTTTCTTTCTTTCTTTCTTTCTTTCTTTCTTTCTTTCTTTCTTTCTTCAATAGATTTATTTTTCTTCTCTTTCTATTTTATCATTCTTCTTTCTTTTCTTTCTTACTTTCTCGAAGTTACGTAACTACATTTTTTAATTTCTCACTTCTCTCTCTCTCTCTCTCTCTCTCTCTCTCTCTCTCTATATATATATATATATATATATATATATATATATATTATTTCCTAGCAGTTGATTAGTCTTTATCTATCTACCTGGAAATATTCGTCTCACTAACTACTATTTGCATCGACTTTTTTCTTTTTTAATTTCCGCTCATTCTCTCTCTCTCTCTCTTCTCTCTCTCTCTCTCTTTGTTTCTGTCTGTCTGTTCGTATCTATCTATCTGGGCATTAATCATCTTTCTCACTCATTCTATTTCTATCTGTGTATCCGTAATCGATTTATCTTTCTCTCTGTCTCTGCCACTCTCTTTCTGTTTTGTTTTATCTATCTATCTATCTATCTATCTATCTATCTATCTATCTATCTATCTAGGCACGGCATGATGAAAAAAAAAATGTCCCAAACTTAATAAAACAAAGTTTTATCGTCAAAATGTTCATTTTATTATTAAGAGGAAAGACAGTAGTTCTTATTAAATTTTTAATCCTTTCTAGCACGTTTGAAATTTTGGTTAAAATTATTTTTATTTTTTATTTTTTTTTTGTCAACGGTCGATATAATATTTATGATTAGCTTTTTAGCGCCTTTTTTCAGGTGAAAAACACATTGATTTAGAAATCCTTGCAAAAATCAAATAATTGCATTTTAAAGAAACTTTCAGAAAGTATTCATAAATGAATGAAATTATTTTCTTTTTTTTTAATAAAATCTTCCTAAAATTTAGTTTTTTTAACACGTTAGCCACCATTTACTTAATTTCATAAAATTCCAGAAATTAACTTTTAGTCTCAAAATATTTTTTTTTTATTTTAAAACAGGACTCCTTGGAGAATGTAAATCACTTTTTTCATACTATAAATTTCCTGAAAATCTGCCCGGAATCGTATAATGAAAACTGTAATAAAACTATGATATTATTTAATTAGAAAAGCTTTTAATCACTCTTATAAAATAAGATTTATTAAGGGCAATATTGTCTGAATAATTTTTTTTTCGATGAATGATGAATTTTTAAAAGAATTCTTTCAATTTTTTTCCAATTTTACTTATATAACAATTTAAATCGTTTAAAATTGTGCATGACTTTAATCCAGTTGGTGATATCGTTATTAACTGGAAACTATTTACGAATCAAAAATTGAAAAGCTTAATAAAAGTCGTTTCGCACCAAGATTTTTTAAATAAATTTTATTTTATTTTTGTGTAGAAACATTCCCATTTTCGTAAGTATGGGAGTCCATCACGTGTTTTAAGTGTTGTCCTACCTTAAAAAATGGGCTTCTGCAATTCTTTCAATATTTCTGTGTTTCATCGTGGTTACGTCTCAACAGGTTTTGCAAATCATCCTTTCAAAATTTTTACATTTAAAGTAATTATTACTTTTTTAAATTCCTATTTCATTAAATTATTTTATTTTATTTATTTATTTTAGTGTGGGTCATAATTCTATTAAGAATTTGTTTTAGTTTCCCTTACTTAAAAAAGAACCTGGAGACGAAACCCAATATAATTCTACTAAAAAATCATTTTTACTTTAATTCAAATTAAATTTTTCTTATTCAATTTCTATTTGAAGTTCTTATTTTTTAATTTGAGTGTCATTTTGAAATTTGCTTTCAAATTATTTTTACTTTAACTCCATTTTCATGAAAAAATTGGTTAGTAGATTTTAATTTTTAATTTTTTTAAAAGTTTATTCTTTTTTTTGTGATAGTTATGAAAACAACGTAAGGCTATAACGTTAAAGTAACTAAAATTCAATAAAATATTAGATGATTGCTGAAAATATCTTAATTTTTAAACATTACTAGGTAGTAAAAAACAAAAACAAAGCGTTCACTTATATTTCATAAATTTATGTCAATTTCTAGTCAACCATAGTTACATTTCCAACAATTTAGGCTGTTAATCAATGAAAACGTAGGAAAACAAGACCACGGGGTTAAGAAATGCTTGTATACTATGTTTTATGCTATACGTAAGTAATAGTTGTTCCATATCAGATTAATTTAACTATCAGATTAATTTAAATTTGATAATTTTCCTCAAATGACGTGTTACAAATATATGTACATTTTATTTTTAGAAGATTTTTAAAACCGAGAAATAATATTGTTTACAAATATGTCAAAATTGCTGTTATTTATCGATTTTCTGAAATCCATAAAAAATTTGAGATTCCAAACAATATAATTTCTATTTGAAATACACCAGAGTATATTGCTTCCTGGAAATTTAATCATTTAGGTTTCAATTAAATCTAAAAAGAAAGAATGTCTTTTCATTTTTAAAAATTAATCTTTAACTTATATTCCAGCTTTCTTAATTTTCATTAATCTAATTGGTGTCAGCCTTCATCTCTTTATATTTTAAAATCGTTTCTGTATCAAATTTCTCTCTATCCACCTTAGTCTTCATGTACTTGTAAAATATACCGATTTCCCTATCTTTGTTAACGTAGCAAACATGTTAGTCTCCGTGACTAATCGCTATTTGCTTCTTAGTAAAATAAAACAGGAATTCCAATGCGGAATATCAAAGCAGGTAAATGCTCCTCACTTGATAGATTCGGAAAACGATCTTTCTACACTCCTTAGCAGTTAGTACATGCGTGCACAGGTAAAAATCATTAATGCCGACATGCTATAAACAGCTGTTTAACTCACTTTGATCACAGTTATCAATAATTGATCTCCGTCTAATAGCATTAATCAATGAAATGTTTTTATTCAGTTCTATCATATCATGCCATATATCAAATATCTATTCATTATAGTCGAATCAGATGTCACCATCAATAATCAATCTAAGCGAGTTGTGATCAAAGGTCGATTTATAATCTATAAACTCCTGTTTATAATCTAATGACATTATATTATTGATGGCCTCTCAATACATGATGGAAAGCCAATTACTGCTTCCACTTTCTCTCTCCCTCTCTTTCTCTCTCTCCCTCTCTCTCTATATATATATATATATCTTTCTCTCTCTCTCTCTCTCTCTCTCTCTATATATATATATATATATATATATATATATATATATTAGGAAAATTAATGACAAAGTGGAAAAGACATTGTATAACGCGCTTCGTCCTTTAGGAATTAATCGGTCTAATGTAATGTTTTTGTTGATGTAACTACACATTTGCATAAAGGGAATATAAAAAACGGTGTTTATATTTATGCATAGATATAGAACGCTGAAAATGCTGGCGCGCTGAAATTTTAAACTTTTAAATTTCATTCTATTTTTGGTTTTTCTAGATGTCTCTGTGTATGTGGTCAAGCCAATTTTGTTTAGTTTCTTTTTGTTTTAGCTTATATTTTTGCTCTTTTGCTGTTAATTGTTATAGTTTTTCTCTTTTGCTATTACGTTTAAGTTTATATGACTTTTGTTAGTTTTTTCTCTCATTTTTCTAATCATTGTTCTGCTATATAAAAAATTATGTATCATGTTCTCGCCCCCATATATATATATATATATATATATATATATATATATAGTTTATGAAAAACTAGGTAATCCGATTGGGTAAACCTAAGGAGGATAAAATCCAGAGGGCTCAATAAAAATTTAGATCAAATAATTTAAATAAAAACAGACCACTTTAAGGTTCCATGTTCAGACTTTACTTCCAAACAAAAAATTGAAAAGAAAATTTACACATTTTTGACGGGCCGTATTAAACATATGTAAATTAACGAAGTGAGGAAGTGAGGGGGGAGAGAGAAGACATGAGTGTGTTAGCAGATATTGACATATTTAAACGGTTAACTTAATGGAAGTTATATATTGATATCGAAGGGGTAGA